GTTCGATTCCCGGCCAATGCAATAACCCTTTTTCCTCCCTTCCTACATTACTTACAAGACCTAATAAGGGGACATACATGAACCCTCTATGTGGAGGACAAATACTAAGCACGCTGGAAGCCCTAGATAATCAAAGAATGTGACTTTGAACCATCCAGCTCTGCCTCCAACGCTTAAAGCTGCTGGGGACGTCACTAGCCACAGCTAGAGTGGAAGGGGCTGCCTCTAGGGTTGTGAAGAGCAACACTGGCACACGCCAAGAAACTACGCTTCAGACGACTCCTCCGTTGTTGAATGCATCAACAAAAGACAACCATCACAAGAGAGAGAGAGAGAGAGACTGTTCCTCCTGAGTAGACTCGAGCGTTCAGTGTATGCAACAGGCTCTGTTCTTTGCCGCGGTGTGGTGGGGTGGTGGCATCAAGGCTGCTGGTGAGGCCAGCAGATTTAACAAGCTCTGTAGTCGGGCTGGAACTAGACAGCCTGGAGGCAGAGAGGAGGGTGAAGGACAAGATCAAAGCCATCCCGGATAACCCCTCTCACCCTCTCCACAACGAGCTGTGGCAGATGGGCAGCTAATTCAGCCACTGGATCATCCAGTGCTCTGTCCATGCAAAACAGAGCTCAGACTACCCTGTATATATATATATATTCCTTATGCATCCATTGCCATATTCACTTGTTTATTTCTGTCTTTATTTTAACATTTATTTATGTGCATGTATTTATTTATTGATAAGTCATTTTTCATTCTCCTAACCCTAACCCTTTTTGAAAATATATTTTTCTATATTTTTAATTTCTCACTCATAAAATGAAGAATCGGTTTCAGCTTCGAGCCCTCAGATGATTAAACTAATTAATCACTCTGAAAAGGAAAAATCACTGAACTGAACTGAACATTCTCTAAATATGAAAGAAGTAGTGAGATATTCACTGATCCCTGTAAAGGATCAGCTACCGCTCTTAACTGCAGTACATTGTTATCAAAAGGCTGTTTCTCAAAAAGAGAAAGCTTCATTGCAGTAAAAATAAACCCCTTCTAAGAAAAGCACTGGAAGATGATGTTGGTCACAGAGGAAGTTTAAATTCACAGATATCATCTTAACAGCCACACAGTGTGCTGCTGTTTGAGGCATCGAGATAAGTAGTCGTACTTGAGCTGACTGTTCCCTGAGAGAATGGAGCAGAGGAGGCTAATGAGAAGAAAGGCCAAATATGAGGGCTTGGTGGATGAGCATTGGTAGCAGGGGATTTCAAAGTAGGCTTTCTCCTAAGTGCTATTGATGTTGACTTATCCTGAATACACACTAGACTGTAAAGATTTCATGGTATATATAGCAAGAATGTGACAAAGGAAAACAAGTGAGACAACAAAGAAACAAAGAAACAATGAAACCGCAACAAAAAAGACATTACCGTGACAGTGCATTGTGCAGCAGGTTTAAAGGTGAGGGGGTAGCGGGCTCGTGTCCCTGCTGGCACATTCACAACCTTTGGGCTGGAGAATCCTTCACCACACACCTCAGCTTGCATTTTCCAGTCTCGGCTGGTCTCATTTTGCTGTGAGAAACACATTTTGGCAACATGTTAAAAAACAATTTTACAAAACAACCATCATTATATAATCTATTTTTCTAACCTAAAACCTAAAGTGATGTTATTAGGCAAATTTCAACCATACTTTTTGCTTCTTGCATATTCAGGATTACCACTCTCTTCCAAGAAATCAGTGTCTCATTATGAAGGCAATATTATTCATCATCCATAATTAATCAAATGCTTTTAGGTTAGCCATTAATAAACAGCACACGCACAGAGTGATTAATACATTTTGACTCCCTCACCAGTGGTATGTCTTGCGTGACTGAATGGTGAGCAGGCGAACTGAAGTCCAAGTGGATGGGTTTTCCCTGTGGTCAGAAATGAGATTTGGTAACACTAATCATAAAACCACATGAACCATCAAACAATCAAGAATTGTCTTAATATACCATTTTACAGTTTGAAGCTCTGACATCAGCTGATATCTACCTGTGAAGTAACCAGCACCTCTAGTGCATAGACCCTGGTATCACACCAGGACCTCAGGACAACCTGACATGTAAATTTCCCCACAGAGTCCGCCTGGAACCGTAATGGGATGTCCACACAGCCACAATCTATTGAAAAGAGGGACGACCAAAACAGAAGCGCTGACAGTTACGTAAGTCATTTACATGAACATGAGTGAAACTAGGATCGAGGACCTTTTGAGGAACTCAGGAACTCTACCTGTGTTTCCACCGGAGCAACCGGGGACTAAATTTAGGTCCTGTAAAATGGTGCTGTCAAACAAGTCCCAATTGTTGTACTTGCCAATTGTTCAACTACTATTGGGGGTGGAGTTTGTTGTTGAAGGTTGGGCGAACACAGACCATGCAGCTGCTACATCTTCACAAATTACAGAAGTACTGGGTGCCACTAGTATTAATCATAGCCTTTGACTCATTGGCGACTTGCAGTAATGCAACCAAAAAACATCAGTGTCTAATATTAGTAAAACCTTCTCTTTTTTATTTATTCATTACATCAACTCACACGTCATTCAGTATGTGTGTGTACCTGCAGGATTCTCCCATGGTATGATGATGTCTTCTTTTATAGGTATTGCAACAGTACTGGGTAAAGTGAAGTACTGTGGCATAGAAACCTCCACACTGTATTCCACTCCTTTACTGCGCTGATCAACTCTTAACAGTGCGGCCTAACAGGAAACAAGACAAGAATAGGGATAGCAAGTGTAATATCGGCAACATGGAAAACACCTACCAATAAAGGTGTGGAATTCGCTCTGTATTATCTAAGATCTGCTTTCCATAGTGTGTATGTGTGTACCTGCTTTTCGAGGAGGGTGCGAGCAGCTGTGGCTGCCCTCACAGTACTGCTATGCAAAGTGTGTGTCAGCATCCGCCTCCTGTGTTCGTCGGCACTCATGCTGTGCTGACCCCAGATGGCCAAAGCCTGCTCCCAGGCCATATTGATCAGCGGTAGACGCACCACCTCCTCAACCACCTGCCCCACTTGGCAGCGTAGGCTGAGTACTGATACACACACAGCTGGGTCTGTTGGTGGAGAAAAATGGAAAATATCAGTTAAAATTGAATCACTATTCACTATAAATACTCTTCTTTATATTTAGGTGACACAGCTCAAGAGCAATTATTACTCCTGGTGTCTCTTCAGTTTGAATATAATCTATCTATCTAATAATCTATTAATATAAAGTTATCACTAAATATAACACTAAACAAAAAAACATATATCCGACACAAAATGTTGGGCACTGGAATAGGACCAATCTAGGAAAAGATATTTTCACTCAAAGGTTTAATGGTTAATGACGTTGAGTGGTGAGTGAGCTTTAGAATATTTTGAGTTTTCTTACCGGAGTTGCTGGGGATGGAGAGTATGTTTGAACTGGGCCTGGCAGAGAGAGGGGAAGGTAAAGGCAATTCTGCTGTGGCCTTTACCATATAGACCATATCTCCCACCTAGAGACAGACACGGTGAGGATCACTATATAATTAAACATGAATACCTGTGTCAATTATGCTATTTGGTCTTTGCTTGTTCTTTGACTCCACTGCACTGCACAAAGAAAAGCTTTATATTTGATTGGCTGTCATTACAAAAGGTAGATAACTAGCCTAACATTTGTTAAAACTGTGTGCAATTTCAAAAATACATTTTAATAAAAAAATGTAGGGAATGGACAGAGAACCCACTGACTGACACACACACACACACTGACCTGCGGGCAAACTAGCAGCACAGAGCAGTACTTGGTCCCCGGGCAGAAGGGCAGGTAGTGGATGTTCAGAGTGTCTGCTTGGCCTGACTTCAGACAAACACTCCTCACTCCACTCAGGAACTCGCTGCCTTTGCCATCTGGGCACACACACAAACATAGAGCACAACCAAACAGACATGCTTAAAGGTAGTATACTCACACACAAACATTAACAGCAATTAAGGCAGCAGAGTACAGAGCATGTGTGCATTTGTGTGTTGTTACTTACCGAGATCTGAGCACTTCCCTTCCATCTCATCCTCACAACTCTTGTCTGAAGTCATCTTCTCTATACTGAAAGAGGAAGGCAGAGGAAAGGAAATCATAATCAT